GGCCAGGACTTGGGATAAATCGTTCCAGAGCGCGCTGGAACGCTCTCACTCAGGAGGGGAACAACACACACAGACACAATGAATCTTCGATTCCCCAGAAAATTAGGAAAATATGGGAAGTGGGGGGGAAGACGGAAACCGAGAAAATATAAGAACATATGGGGAATCTGGTGATTTGTGTCTATTTACTTGTGTGCTCCAGTTTCCCTTCACGCACAGCATGGCATTGGCGCTCTTGAACGGCCGCGGCGCCCGATGCATTATCCCAAGCCGCCAGATCTCGGAGGTCCCCGTCCTGGTCCGATGTTGTCCCGGTCCTGGCTTCACTTGCAATGAATAGGTTGGGGCGGGTCGAGGACTGCAAAACAGTGACCCTGAATGGGGCCGGCTCCGAAAACCTGCCGCTCGGGCCCGAGAGGTTACGTTGCATTTTCGGGGAACCTCGTCTGTCCCCCCAAGATCGGTTTCTTCTTTTGTGCCCGACGCGGGCTCGATGCTGACTCGACGCGGATTTGGCGTGGATTCGACGTGGAGTCAACGCGTATTCGACGTACGAGCCTGACATGGATTCGACGCGGATTCGATTCAGATAGGGGCGCGACGGTGCAGACAAGGTCCCCCGAAGATGCCACATAAGAGAGGTGCGCGTTTTTCTCCCCATTTGTGTATCTTCTTCCCGCCACCGAACGCCCAACGGGGGTCAAGTGGTTTGAAGGCTGCCAGGCGAGGGTCGTGGGTCGAGGATCGATCAGTACGCTCGCAAGTGGTACAGAAAGAATCGGTGCGAAAACCAACAGTGGTGCCTGTAATTCCCCACATGTTTCGTGGGGTTCTAGTTTTCTTCCCTGCCGCGTCGCACCCGCGTCTCCTCCCTCACATCTCCCTCCTTCCTCCTTTCTGCCCTCCTCCACGGCACAGCTCACATCACAGCTCAGCACAGCTCAGCACACCACGTGCACGGTGTGTGGGCTTGCATGTACGTGCGCGCGTGGGCAAGCACAGCTCAGCTCAGTACAGAGACGCAGCTGAGCACAACGGCAGCAGGCGTGGGAATGTCTCGATAACATAGTGGGTGCGCGGGGGGTGCGGTCTCTATGCGTTGCCGGCTCGCAGGACACGGCAGGCGTGGCATTTTCTCGACACCAGAGAGGGGGCGCAGGGGGTGCGGTCTCTATGCGTTGCAGGCGTGCAGGGCACGGCAGGCGCGGCATTTTCTCGGCACCAGGAGGGTGCGCAGGGGGTGCGGTCTCTATGCGCTGCAGGCGCGCAGGGCACGGCAGCGACACCAGAGGGGGTGCATTGGAGGTGCGGTCTCTATGCGTTGCAGGCGCGCAGGGCACGGCAGGCGCGGCACTTTCTTGACGCCAGGAGGGTGCGCAGGGGGTGTGGTCTCTATGCGCTGCCAGCTCGCAGGGCACGGCAGGCGTGGCATTTTCTCGACACCCCGGTCTCTATGCGTTGCAGGCGCGCAGGGCACGGCAGGCGCGGCACTTTCTTGACGCCAGGAGGGTGCGCAGGGGGTGTGGTCTCTATGCGCTGCCAGCTCGCAGGGCACGGCAGGCGTGGCATTTCTCGACACCAGAGAGGGGGCGCAGGGGGTGCGGTCTCTATGCGTTGCAGGCGTGCAGGGCACGGCAGGCGCGGCACTTTCTCGGCACCAGAGGGTGCGCAGGGGGTGCGGTCTCTATGCGTTGCAGGCGCGCAGGGCACGGCAGCGAGACCAGAGGGGGTGCATTGGGGGTGCGGTCTCTATGCGTTGCAGGCGCGCAGCGCACGGCAGGCGTGGGAATTTTCGACACCAGAGGGGGTGCGCGGGGGGTGCGGTCTCTATGCATTGCAGGCGCGCAGGGCACGGCAGGCGCGGCGCTTTCTTGACGCTAGAGGGTGTGCGCAGGATGTGTGGTCTCTATGCGTTGCAGGCGTGCAGGGCGCGGCAGGCGTGGCAATGTCTCGATAACAGAGGCGGTGTGCGGGGGGGGCGGTCTCTGTGCGTTGCAGGCGCGCAGGGCACGGCAGACGCGGCATTTTCTCGACACCAGGGGGGTGCGCAGGGGGTGCGATCTCTATGCGTTGCAGGCGCGCAGGGCACGGCAGCGACTCCAGAGGAGGAGTATTGGGAGTGCGTTCTCTATGCGTTGCAGGCGCGCAGGGCACGGCAGGCGTGGCACTTTCTCGACACCAGGAGAGGGTGTGCAGGGGGTGTGGTCTCTATGCGTTGCAGGCGCGAAGGGCATAGCAGGCGTGGGAATTTCTCGACACCAGAGGGGGTGCACACGGGGTTCGGTCTCTATGCGTCGCCGGCACGTTTAGCCATAATATTTGTATGTGGGGTTCCTCGGTAGCGTAAGTTTTGTTGACAGGGCTCACTGTCGGCGTCGCCGTGGATGTTGGCCATTTGAGTCGGATGGCCGCCTGCCCAACAGCGGCCGCTGTCGGTTTGGAACAACATTTGCTGTTGGGCATCGTACCCATGATCCCCGCAATTGTCAATTCCGGGTGTGCCGATTCGCGCGCCACCGTCGAGGGTCCAGGCGATGGTCGAGAACCGGCTCATGCTGAGCGAGGGTCGAGGGTCCAGCGTCTGCCGGCTGCCTGCGCCCTCCCGCGCAAGGCAGGGAGGCGTGATCGGGCGCGGCGCCGTGGAGTGTCAGTGTTCTTTATCCGATCCCCATCCCCATCCCCATCCCCGTCGAGATCCCCACCAAATTACCACCCCAGTTGGGGATACACCCCTCGAAACCCGAAGGGAACGACCTATATTCCCATCTAAGGGGGTAAATCGGCCAGTGAGGCCTAGGCCACGCCGCTGGGGATGGGGATCGGATAAACGATACTCAGAGTGTCCTTCCCCGTGGCGCTGCCAGTGGGGCATTCGGTGGAGCTCCCTGATGTTAGCCCTGGAATCTTGGAGCCCCCCGATGCCAGCCTCAGAATCGAAGCGTGGCAGGACAGAGGGGCCAAGCGGAGAGGGGATGGGAGACTTGCGGACGACGCCGACCATGATACCAGGTCGGATCGATACGCGTTTCCGCGCGTGTTCGTGTATCGACTGGTCTGGTGCACGATTGGCGTCGCCCGAGGGGAGTGCGACCGCCCCATTCCTCCCTGCCTCTCTGAGGCGAAAGGCCCCCGGCCCTTCGGGCAACCCGTCTCCTCTGAGCTCGCCGCTGTCGCCTTGGGACCCTGGAGCCCTGCTCCGGAGTGGGGCTCTCACGGCCCCGGGCTCCGAGAAGGGACGGATGGGAGGGGTGGATGAGGAGGGGGGGGAGGGGGGGGGGAGGGGGGAGGGAGAGCGAGGAGAGGACGGGGGGACGACGAGGAGGCGGAGTGCTCCCCCCTCTCCTCTCCCTCTCCGCCCCCCCCCCCAAGCCGCGCCAGCCTCCGCCCCACAGGGCCCCCCCGATCGCCGCCCTCGGGCGGCCGACGCCGGGCCGCATCGCGCCGCCAGCTCGGCGCCGCGCCGCGCGAGGTGCCGCCGCCGCCGCCGCCGTCGCCGTCGCCGTCGCCGGCGTGCTCCTCCTCGTGGAGGTGCTCGGGTCCTTCTGGACGTCCGAAATGGGTACTGAAAGAATGGGTACTATGCCCAACAGCGGATCTTGTTCATTTTGAACAGGATCCGCTGTCCGCGCCGCCGCGGCCTGTGTCCGTTCGAGGCAGGAGGCCGCCCGCCCAACAGCGGCCGCTGTTGGTTTGGGACAACATTGGTTGTTGGGCATAGTGCCCATTCTTTCCGTACCCATTTCGGGCGTCCAAAGTCCTGGCATCGCTCGGACGTGTGCATTTTTTTCTCGGCGAGCGCCATCGAGGAGAGGAGCATCCCTGTGATCGCTCGGCGGAAAGAAAACCACGCACGAAACCGAGAGAAACAAGCACAGGGCATGGGCGTCCGAGCGGTGGCCAGCGGTGCCGCTGCTCCGTCTCGGAGGGCCCTCGCCGCCACGGCCGGGCTCGCCCCGGAATCTCCGAGGCGCGCCCATACGGCGAGGCCCGCAGAGCAGCCGTGTGGGGTACCCTGTGGTCCCCCCTCTCGTGGGTGCCGGTGTCGCGGTCGTCGCCGCGGGGTCGTCGCCGTCGCCTCGGCGTCTATCGCCGTCGGTGTCGCGGTTGGCGTCGCCTCGCCTCTGTCGTCTGCGTATTGGGCGTCGTTTGCGTGTGCCTTCGTCGCAGTGGATAGGAATGGCAGAAGGGGGGAGGGGGAGGAGTAAGAGGAGGAGGACTGCGAGGAGGTGGCTGGAGGGGAGGCAAGGGGGTGGGAGGCGAAGAGAGCACGATGATGAATTGACGCATGAGGAGTTGTCGGAGGAGGAGGAGAAGGAGATAGGGTACAGGGAGGAAGAGGGAGGGGATAGGAGGAGAAGGACGAAAAGGATGAGAAAGAGGATAACTATATGCAGGACCCCTCTTACCCCTATGATCTCTCATCTTCCCTGTCCACACTACGACGGAGACGACGCAGCGAACGACAACGAGAAACAGACGACGCAGAGAGACGACGACGACGACCACGACCACGACCACGACCACGACCACGACCACGACCACGACCACGGCCACGGCCACGGCCACGGCTGAGGCGGCGGCAACGGCGACAGCGACGGCGACGACGACGACGACGACGACGACGACGACGACGACGACGACGACGACGACGACGGACGACGGACGACGGACGACGGACGACGGACGATGGCCGACAGCCGACGGACGACGGACGATGGCCGACAGCCGACGGACGGCCGACGGGGGACGGCGGACCGCGGACGGCGGACGGCGACGACCGACGACCGCCGACGGCGGGCGGCGACGACGGACGAATGCGGACGGGCGACGGACGACGGACGAGCGACGAGCGACGACGGCGACCTGCGGCGGCCCGAGCGAGCGAGCGGAGACGAGGCTGCGGACGGCCGCGACGGCGACGGGCGACCAGCGGCGGGGCCGCGACTGGCGACGGCCGGTGGCGGCGTGGCGGCTGCCCGCGACGTGCCCCCCGCGGCCGCAGCCATGTTCTGCCCAAGCCTCGGCGCGCAGGGGAGCCGGCGGCGGGGCGCTCCCGCGGAGGTGCCGCATGTGACCGGCCTCCCGGCGGGGCCGCGGAGCCTCCGCCGGCCGGCCGGCCGGCCGCGGGCCGCCGAGCCGGCGACATCGGCGGGCCTCTCGGCGGGGCACCCCGGCGGCGGCCGCGGCGGCCGCCTCGGCGGCCCGCGGCGGGCCCGCAGGTGGGAGGCACCGGCCCCGCTCTCTCGGCGGGCCCTCGGCGCGCCCTCGGCGGGCCCTCGGTCGGCGGCACCTCAGCGGGCCCTCGGTCGGCGGCACCTCGGCGGGCCCTCGGCGGCTCTCGCGGCGGCACCTCGGCGGGCCCTCTCGGCGGCGGGCGGCGCCATCGGCCGATCGAGGAGCAGTGCTCGTGGATCGAGATCTCTGGGCGCTTTCGGGCTCGCCCTCCTCCGAGGCAGGGGGTCTGTCCAGAAGCACCGCCTGTGGGATCAATCTTCGGGGGCCTCGTCGGGCGGCGGCTATGTCCAGGAGGAGGAGGAGGAGGAGGAGGAGGAGGAGGAGGAGGAGAAGTATAGGTGCCAGAACGTGTCCATGTCCACCGCCCGCTGGGGTCCCAGATGTCGGTTCCCCGGGCGGCGGATGCAGATACATATGTCCCCGCCTCGCAGCCTCGACCAGGGGCAACAACGGGGGGGGGTAGGCGCAGAATGTAGGATAGCTCTCGCCCCGCCCAGGGCCGTGCGGACTCGCTACTGCGGGCCTACCGCTGATGTGCCGCCCATACGGTCTCGATGCTTCCCCTCCCCCTGCCCTCCCCTCCCCGCCCCTCCCCTCTCTTCCCCTCCCCTCCCCTCCCTCCCCTCCTGGCGTTTTTTTCACAGCGCCATCTCTTTTGCCAGCCCACCTCGAGGCTGAGTGCTTCCGCGCGACGGTCGTCGTGGGCATTCCTCCTCCCCTCTCTCTTCCCCTCCCCCTCCACTCAACTCTCTCGAGACCGCCTCGAGGGAGGTGAGTGGACCGCTCGAGGGCGAGTACTTCAGCGCGACGGTCGTCGCGAGAGTTCCTCCACCCTTCCCTCCCCTCAGTGCTTCCCCTCCACCCTCGCCCTTTGCATGCTCTAGCCTCTAGGGTTGCCCCAGGCGGGCTGTCGCTACGCTGGCCCACGCAGAGGGCGCTGCGCCGGCCACTAGCTGCCGCGGCACTGCGTGCGGAGTTGTCGAGCTTCTCCTGGGCGGGATGCCGAAAGAGCTCCCGAGCATGGTTGGTGACAGGGGACTCCGCCGTCGCAATGACAGGCGATCCGGGAACGCTCCTTAGCACAGTCCGTGGACGCTCGTCGACGCTCTTAGTATTTTTAACCGCCAACTCTCTCTCTCTCTCTCTCTCTCTTTCTAACTAACTAACTAACTAACTAATTAGTTAGCTAGCTAGCTAGCTAACTAACTAACTAACGAACTAGCTAATTTACTAACTCATGTATTATGTATATCAGTCACGGGGCTCTCGCAGCTCTGACCTGGGCCAGTCGTTGGCGCTATGGCTTAACGGATGTAACGGCGCATTGCTCTGATGATCAGTTTCGGGCCATCTGTCCCAGGCATGGTGTTTCGGCATACGGATGTTTTCATTACTCCTTCCTACCTCATTTCCTCCTTCCGTCCTCCTTCATCGCTACGGCCTGTACGAGCATGGTGGCGTTTCCTGCTCCTTCCCACCAGCTGGGAAGCTGGCAGTTTTCATCATCGGGGGTATAAGGTAGCAGATTAGGTATGTTCTCGCAGTTCCGTGTCTTGAGTGCGTGAGCGTGTGATAGCGCTCGGCGGTCGACGAGAAAACTCTCTGATTTAGCGTCGCTCAGCGACAATCAGCCACGATCGACGTCGGTTCGCAAGAGCCAGCAAGATGGCACTGGAGGTCACCCATGGGTTGCCACAGAAGAGGGCATGCGCTGAAAGGGCTATGCAGAAAGCCCACGCGGCGGAGCCGGTCTGTGGCAGCGGCTGCAGGTCCGCCTGCTGCTGCCCCTGGCCTTCTCGGGGGCCGCGCGCGGCATGCCTGGCCAGAGCTGCAGGGAGCAGCGGGGGTAAAGAGGAGGGAAGGTTTCTTGGAAGCACCCCTGCTTCTTAGATGGCGCGGGCCTTATCTATAGACGTAGGGCTGGCACCTCCCTAAGAAGCAGCCTCCTTCGAGGAAGCCTCCCCCCTCCCCCATACCCCCGTGGTGCGCGCGGCCAGCTGTCAAAGGCCGCCGCACGCCCACGTGGCGAGCTCTTAGAGCCGAGTTGGGGGCCAGAGGTGGCCCAGCACTGGTTCTGGCCAGCAGGATCGGGAGGCTCGAGGTTCTGGATCCGGGAAGGTCTCTTGCCTTGCCGCAGGGTGCTCCGCGCGGATCGTGGACGGCGTTCCGCGCGGGTCATCCGCGCAAAGCCGCTTGGGAGCCATGGGGTTGCGGCCGAGGAGAAGTGAACGCGAGGAAGTGGAGGTGGACAGACATGCCTCCCGAGCACGGCTCTCGCAGGGTCTCGACGAAATCGCTTTGCTCGGCCTCCCGGGGGCGTCTCCGGGCCTCGGGACCACCGTCAGAGACGGATCTGGGGTGTTCAACTACACCAGCTGGATCCTGGGACGGGTCTGGGACCGGTTCTGAGCGGATTTGGCCTCATCCCCCCTCCCGCCTGACCGATTCTCTGGGGCCCAACCAGTCGAGTGCCCGCTGGAGCGCCCTGCGATCGCGGAGGCAAGCAAGGAAGGCAATGACATCGACCCCGTCCGTTCAGGGCTCGTGGCGACCCCGCTGCCCAGCGCCAGAGCCTGGGCGCGCGGGGTGACGAGGTGGAGAAAGGAGGTGGAACATGTTGAGAGAGGGGGAACTGGGGAGCAGTAGGAGGGAGGGAGGAGGTGTGGGTGGGATTGGGAGGGGAGTGCGGAGGTGGAACAGAAGGGGGGAGGAGGGGTTCCACCTCTTCTGGATGAGGAGCAGGTTGCGGGAGAAGGATTTGTTTATCTGTTGGGCTTGTTTGTTGCTCCGGCGCCATCATTTTCGCCATGCATGGGTCCGCCTCGAAATCCTGATCAAATCTTGGCAGGACAGTTCTGATGGTCGACTCTTTGAGGGAGCAATAGGTATTTGAGTAGGAGATCGGCGAATCAGGATGAGGGCCAGGGAGGATGTGGATGAGTAGGATGTTGTCGGCGTTGTTTTTGATGCTTGGATTCCTGGGGCGAAGTGCGGAGAATGGGGAGGACAGGATGCGGGGGGTAGGTGTAGGGGGAGAAGGAGGAGCAGAAGGGGGAGTACGATGGAGAGAAGGAGGAGGAGTTGGAAGGCGACAAGAAGGCGAGAAAAACTATACCCAGCATTCAAACAGCGGGCCCCGCCGATTCCCACCCTCCCTTTCATAACAGAAAGCCAATGGTGGCGCAACTTGATCTTGATGGGACGTAAACACCAGCCGCGTGTTGATTCCAGGCCGATGCCCCCCCCCCATACCTCCTGAGGTCTTTGCCCCCCCAGGCCCCCCCCCCCCTGTGCGGCACCTCACCCCTTCCACCCCTCGACACGTCTTGACCCATCCATCTTTGCGGTGCGAAGCCCCGCGACCAGGAGGAGGAGGAGGAGGAGGAGGAGGAGGAGGAGGAGGAGGAGGAGGAGGGAGGAGGAGGACGAGGACGAGGAGGAGGAGGAGGAAGGGGAGGAGGAAGGGAGGGGCAGAGAGGGGAAGGGGGGACGGAGTAGGGGGGTGGGAGGAGGCGTGGAAGAGGGAGGAGGAAGCGAGGAGGAAAGAGGGAGGAAGGGAGGAGGAGGCAGGGAGGGAGGGGGAAGGGAGGGGCAGGGAGCAGTGAGGAGGAGGAAGGAGGAGGTTGGAGGAAGGGAGGAGGAAGGCATAAGAGGGGAGGAATCAGGGCGGAGGGAGGCGAAGCCTCCCCTCCAGGAGAGCGCGTGGGGTGCGCACGGTGCCTGGCCGGTGGCCAGCTGCGTCGGCAGGCCGGGGTCTGCTGCGTGTCTCTTCTCGTGGGCTCCAGCGGGCGGGGTAACCCCCTCCTCCTCCGCCTCCTCGTCCTCCTCCTCCGCCTCCTCCTCCTCCGCCTCCTCCTCCCTCCTCCTCCTCGTCCTCCTCCTCGTCGTTCTCCTCCTCCTCCTCCTCCTCAGCCTCCTCCCGCCTACTCCTCCTGCTCCCTCCTCCTCCTCCTCCTGCTCCTCGTCCTCCTCCGTTCCCTCCTCCTCCTCGTCCTCGTCCTCCGTCCTCCTCCTCCTCCTCAATCCTCCTCCTCCTACTCCTCCTCCTCCTCCTCCTCCTCCTCCTCCTCCTCCTCCTCCTCCTCATCATCATCATCATCATCATCATCACTCCTCTCTCACCCCTCATTCAGCTTCATCTTCACCCCTAGGACCGCGGGATGGCGCTGCCTAGACGGGCTCGCGCGGCGCTTGTGGACATGGCGGCCCTCGTGGCTGCAGCGGTCCGAGGAGCCGTGGACGGCGGCGCGCCGCGCCGCACTGTCGCCGCCGTGGCACGTTCCGCCGTGTCGGCCGCCGCCTTCGCGGCGCGGCCGATTCCGCGGGAGCCTGCCGATGCGGGCGACGGGGTGCGCCCTGGGGTGCCTGCCGACGCTGCTCTTCGCGCTTCCTCGGAGGCGCTGCGTGAGCGGCGGTGCAGGCGCCGTCAGAGGCGTGCAGGGCGGCGCGCACTGGAGCGAGGGGAAGCTGCGGCGATGGAGGATGCAGTGGTGGCGGGTGTCCTGCCGCCTGCTGCGCCCCCCGCTGCCGCTGGCGGCCCCGACATGGACGTCGACGGCGGCTGCGACGACGACGTCGGGTTCGACGACGCCTGGGCTGACAAGGCCGCGTCGAGGAGGCGCAGGCCGAGTCCTGCTGGGGCGCGTGTTGCTGCGTGAGGCCGTGCTGGAGTAGGCTGCGTGCCGCCTGCGGAGGCTGAAGCTGAACGCGGCGACGGTGGCGGTGCAGCGGCGGCAGCGCCTGCGGCGGCTGGTGCCGCGCTGGCGCTGGCGGCGACTGGAGCAGATGATGCGGGCCTCGCCCCGCCGTCCGCGAAGGTCGCCGTCATGGTGGCTGCGCCGCCAGCGGATGCTGGGGGGGCTTCTGCGGAGCTCGTGGCAGCCGCTACCGCCGCTGTTGCGGCGGCTACGGCTGGCGGAGCCGATGATGCGGCACGCAGTGCGGCCGTGCAGGAGCTCGGGCGGCTGAAAGCGCGCTTGGCGGAGCTCGAGGAGCAGGAGCTCGAGGAGCAGTCGGCGCGCGGCCGCTGGCCCAGCGCAGGGAAGGGGAGGCAGCGGAAGGGTCGGCGATGATGCCTTGCCCCCTTTGCGGAGGGGGGAGGCCGCCTGCCCCTTTCCCCACTTCCCTGCCATGGTGTTCGTCTTCGGCGAGTTTAAGTCCGACGACGCGGTCGGGGACCTGACACCTCAGGTGGTGACCAGGTCCCCGCGGGCGCGGCCGCGCTGCGGCCGCGTAGTCTCGCGAGACTCTTCCCCTCGGGGCTGTCCTACCTACCTACCTACATACATCCCTCCTCCTCTTGGTCAACCCTCCCTCGTCAAGCCAGTCCCGGGTTTCGAGCTGCCTCTGTTGACCCTCGGATTCGCGCTCTTGGAAGTGGCGCAGCTGACCCGAGCCAATTTTCCAGACGGGACAACCTTCATGAATTGCACCGTGGCCGAGTCAGACGACATGGCTCTGTCGGGTGCCATGCCGTGCTGTCCCCAAGTTTTGTCCTGGAGGAACACGTGTAATGAGCGTGGGAACAGCACGCCGCATCACATCGTCAGTCAGCAGCGCCAGCAGAAGGGGGGAGGGCACGCAGCCCGGGCAGCGAAGGGCAAATCAGTGGCTGAACGGACTCCCTCGCAACTGGCGCAACGGCAACAACGAAGACGACCAAGAACAGGGAGGGGGGGCGGGAGTAGTGGCGGCCTCCTCTGCCACCGAGTGACAGGTCAAGTTGTTGAAGGAGAAGGCATCACACAGGAGACGCACCTCGACTCCAAGCTTCAGGAGCTGCCGAGAAAGTCCGAGGGGACCGTCCCCGCGGACCTCGCCAGCAAGGGGCTCTATAGGACCTATCGAGACGCGTTCGCAAACTCGAGCAGATCGGGGCTCGACCGACCGTGCCATGGATGCCCACGCTACACCTCTAGGCTTCCCAGATGGGGTCGGAGCAGGTGGGGTCGGAGGATCGCGCCGCATGGCCGATGCACCGCCGATGCGGCTCGATGTGCAGCCCGATTTGCGTCACGTCGACGTCGCAGATGCATCGCCAACGTCGACGACGCATCGCTGGTGCATCGCCGTTGCATTGCCGATGCATCGACGATGTATTGCCGATGTATCGGCGACTCGGCGCGATCCTCCGACCCCATCTACTCCGACCCCATCTAGGAGGCCTCTAACTCCGGAGGAACTTCAGGAGTTCGTGGGCCAGGAGGTCTAGCAGGGGCGCCTTATCGCGACAGTCTGCCCTCGAGCGAGAGGCGAATGACGGATGCCCAGTCAGCTTTTGTGCTGCCAGGGTTGCTTTCCATCGGCCAAGACTCCGACCCAGAGAACGAGCTGTAGTTTTTGGGGAAGTCTCGCCATAGCCGTCCAAGCGTGCAGCGGTTAATCGACATGTGCGCGACACCATTTCTCCAAGCCGCAGAGCTCAAGAAAAAGGAGCTCCTGGACAAGATACCACGTCAGCAACGGGGAAACCTACAGTTGGTTTGGCTGCAGCTGTTGGTGCTGCTGCAGGCCAGCTTCAAGCACTGCTGCTGGCAACGAGCAGCCAGACGTCATCGTCATTGACCTAGCGGACGAGAACCTCAGCGCCAGATTCAAGACAGCACGAGTGACAGCAGGTGCCGGCCCCCAGCAGCTCCATCGATCACGACCTGCAACGCGCCGGCGCGTGCGGCAGCACGACGGCCATGTCTGCCCTCGCCAGTGTCACGCTCAGCCCCAGTGTTTGGACATCGGCTCTCACACGACCGGCTGGCGGAAACCGTGACAGGCGCGTGCTCGGCGCAGACACTGTAGGGCAATCCGCAGATGCCGCCACAGCCCGCCCGAATCTGGCGTTTTCCTCCTCCTCCTCCTCCTGTCCTCTCCTTCCTCCCCCTCCTCTTCATCCGCTCGCTCGGGAAATATCTGTCATAGGTAGCTCCTCTTGTTTGCGCCTGTCTTTTCAGGGGGGGCAGGATTTGTCCGCCCGAGCCGGCGCCTACAGTAAGCAGCAACATAGACGTGGCGAGGCCCGCACTTCTTTTTGTCCGAGTCTCTGGCTGGAGTTTCGGCCACGTTCGCAGGACAGCCTTGCGACGAACCTGAATCGTGTATAATATCGCTGACCAATTCCACCTTTTTTATTTATATATATATATATAAAAAAAAAAAAAAAAAAAAAAAAAAAAAAAAAAAAAAAAAAAAAAAAAAAAAAAAAAAAAAAAAAAAAAAAAAAAAAAAAAAAAAAAAAAACGTGGTGGAATTGGTCAGAAATGACCGCCAGAGACGCGCTGCAGATGGCCAGCCTGCTTCAGCACCAGATGCAATTGTTCCAGATGCCTTTAGTAGTCAGGAGCATCGCACCCAGGAACCACGAGCGTGTTTTAAGCCTTCTGGGCCATACCGCGCGAAGAGGGTGGTCGGGTGGACCCCTGGAGGTGGGCGACTGACCGGGCGCCCCCGCAGACGTTGGCATGATTAGTTTTCCACAGTGCCTAGCGAGCCCGACGCCTACCCATGCACGGGCGGCGCTTCCTGCTCCTGCTCCTGCTCCCTCCCCCCCATGACTTAACGCTTCCCCCCCTCGCCCCCGTTGTGCGCCCCTGGCGCCACCATTGAGAAGCTCGCAGGCTATTGCGGTGCTTGTCGTCGATGTTGTCGTCGTCGTTTTTGCCGTGGTCTTCCTCCTCGTCTTCGTCGTCGCTTGAGTCGTCGTCATCCTCGTCCCCGTCCCCGTCCTCGTCCTCGTTCCCGTCGTCGTCGCCGTCCCCGTCCCTCTCGTCATCGTGGCGATCGTCGTCGTCGTCGGTGTCGTCGTCGTCGTTATCGTCGTCGCCGAGGGCCTCGAAGGGCCTCCAGACGCTTCCAGGGGTCTGCGGAGGCCTTCTCATGTTTCCAGAGACTTCCAAAAACCTGCGCAGACAGCCCTCGTCGCCCTCGTCGCCCTCGTTCTCGTCGTCGTCGTCTTCCTCCTCCTCCTCCTCCTCCTCCTCCTCCTCATTGTCTTCGTACCCTTCCACTCTGGCACCCACTTCACACAATTCGTGGCTCCATAGGGACCTCCACCTGAGGCCTTAGTAGCTGCGTTCGTATGCCGCCTCCTCCCTAACATCGGCACACCCCTCACACTTTTCGTGGCCCCATAGTGAGCTCCACCGAAGGCCTTATTGGCTGCGTTCGTATGCCGCCCCCCCTCACTTTGGCATACCCCTCACACGTTTCGTGGCCCAATAGGAAGCTCCACCAAAGGCTCTAGTGGCTGCGTTCGTATGCCCCCCCCCTCACTTTGGCGTAACCCTCACACGCTTCGTGGCCTTATTGACTCAGCTCCACCTCAGGTCCCAGTGGCTGCGTTCGCGTGCCGCCACCTCGCGTAATCCTTCGCGCCGCGCGCCCGTTGTTCCCGGGGCCCGTCAACCGCAACGGGTTAGATCCGCGGGTAACCAGGCTCGGTGGGCCTCCGTGGCTCGAGTGCTGGAGTCTGGCAGCCGCAACGGTGTTCTTGAAAGCCAGGTCTCGCCAGGCCGGCGATCGGGATTTCGGGTCGACCCCACCCAGCTCCGCCCGCCGCCTCCAGACCCGCGCTGCCCTGGGCCTTGCCCTTCCCGCGGCCCCTATGTCGGGAAAGTCCGAGTTTGTGCGCCTCCCTCCTCCGGCTGATCTCCCTCGCGGTATTCGCGTGCCTCTCGCGCGTTTCGGCGCACCCATCGCGCGCTTCCCTGCCCCATTTCGGCGCTCCCGTCGCGCTCTTCGTGGCCGTACAGGGA